AACTCTTGTAAACGAACTGACTTTAATAACTTTTCCCAAACATATGGTCTTATCGCTTTCTTCTTCCTGCTCAGCATTTTTTGCTAGAAATTCAGCAGAGTTTTTGAGCTCCAAAGAAAACATACCACAAGCTTAGATAAATGGCAATCGGCAACATCATTCGTTCCGATGCTCATCAAAGTGAAAGATGCCACACACCTTATCTCTGTTGCAATGCTAAGCCAATTATCAAATTAATTAGCTAAGCATATCTAAGCGACATTGCAACATACAAGTAATTGCATTGGCAACAGTGCGCAGCCATCAAATCAAGTGCATGAAATGATTTGAGGCTCCATCCGTAGCTCCATCAATGTGCAATCGCAGCAACAGAGATGTGGACAGAGACGTACGGGGCATATAAGTATAGGTAAAGACGATCTCACGATTTATAATCATGCTCCATGCACACAGACATCAGCCCAGCGACAAGCTGACAACTTGAGCTGCTAATGAATGATTGATGTGTGTGGCGATCGTCGTATACTTGGATACTCGTACTACTTATAAGTTGGCAAATATGTACTGCTAAGTGAATTCAAGAGAGCAGCAACATGGACGCGCAATTTGCTGACCTTGCATTTGCATTAATCATCATTGATTGATCACTGCAGCCACTAAGTACAGTAAAGCAGCACACTGTAAAAATATTCTCTTTATTCTCAAATGCAAAATTGCTAGCAGACAGAACTCCTAAGCCGCCACAAAATGGCAATGAAGCTATGAAAAGTGACTGAAAAAATAAAACATGCATACACCAGTATGTATAATATTTTTCTCTGAGTGTAGCTTGCAATGATCGACAGTCGGGCGATGAGGATGAGCATGCAACGACGTCAGCGGTGGCAAAATGTGGCACCAACTCAAGTGCAATAAGAATTTGATACCGGACGCCGCAACTGACTGACTGACTGAATGAATGGCTAACTGACTGACTGACTGACTGACGGAGTGACTGAGGTTTTGACTGAGTGCGCGAATGGCTGAGTGACTAATTAGTGCGACGAGCACAAGAATCAACGTTGGAGCTACGGTTCACATCCGCCTGATTGATGGCACCGCGAAATTTAAGAAGGATGCCAGGCAGCTGTCAAGTCATTGCGAAAAGGATTAGCAGAGGCGATCAAATGATGCCGCCGCCGCCGCAGCCGCAGCATCAGCCTCAGCTCCCGACGCACATTATAATAAAGTTGACACTGGCGACTGCTGCATGATGGATCAGTGGAGCACCAGCCGCTTATATTCCTACAACTCTTCGCCAAAATCAGCCCAAGACCCAACTCCGAATCCAGCAACATCTCCCAGCATATTCCATCAGCTGTCACAAATATGTCACTGTCAGTCTCATGAGATTTGCGCAAAACTTCTTCTGCACTGTTATTTAATTTTTTTTTCTGTATTTTTGTTTTTATTTTTATTTTGGTCGGTCTTTTCGCGCTCTATAGGCTCCCGGTATGTTGGTGATGCTGCTGCTTCGGCTGCTGCTGTTGCTGCTTTTCGAGCAGATTGACAAGGGAACGCTGCTAATCCAATTTAATTTGAATGTCAGTTCGTCTGGAAGACGTGGAATTAAGAACTTCTGATTTGCCTTTCACTCTTTCTACGATTTTTGTGGCGGCGTTTCAAATTGTTTCCCAGACCCAGAGACCCAGGAAAGACACATGTTCAACTTAATTTGGTTCACTGGCTTTTTGCGTATTTACTGCGAACATTTCGACCATTTGATATGCGCGGAAGCAGAAAACATTGAAATCTGCAGTTGTTCAACAGAAGCTACAACAAAATCGCCAACAAAAAATTATGAAATTCGATACAAACTGAAATGGGTGTTGAGACTTTGTTTAGATTTCCAATGCACAATGGAGGAAGAGCAACGGAATCGAATTTCAGTAAAAACATATAACAATTTGAAAAATTATGCTAAAAATTTCGGTTCTTTTTATTAAATTAAGGAATAAAGTAGTTAAAGCGACTCATAAATGGTAATTTTTGTAAGGTGTTTGTAAAAATCGGGTTAAATGCTGAGTTTATGCTTCTCTGGATTATCTGGGAAATCGTTTAGCCCTGCTGCTTGTTTGTCTTAAGAGCTCTAGAATTGAAATATGTTTAATATTATTGTATAGAATGGCTGTTTCTCTAAAGAGAGAGAGAGAGAGAGAGCTTGACGGTGTTACATTATTCGTTCTATCAATTGGTAATCAAATACAAGTATATTAATGAGAATATGCTGAACTAGTTCATCTATAAAAGAATCAGCTCGTCTCTAGAATCGAAATACATTTAGTTTCAATTTGAAAAATTGTGCTAAAAAATTCGGTTCTTTTTGTAAAATTAAGGAATAAAGTATTTAAAAGAACTCATAAAGGTACGCTCAGTGTACATTTTTTTAGAGTGCTTAAGTTACTTCTCTAGATTATCTGGGAAGTCGTTAAATGAGACACTTAGTCCTGCTTCAGGTTTGTCTTAAGAGCCCTAGATTAGAAATAAGTTTAATATTCTTCTAGAGAAGGACTGTAAATCTTTCTCTAGAGAGAGAGAGAGCGAGAGAGAGAGAGAGAGAGAGATTGACGGTGTTTTATCATTCGATCTATCAATTGGTAAACAAATTTATTAATGAGAATATGCTGGGCTTCTTCGTCCATAATAGAATCGGATCGTCTCTAGAATCGAAATACGTTTTCTTATAGAGAAGGACTGCTAATCTTTCTCTAGAGAAACAGCTCGAAGGTCTTGCATTGTTCGTTCTATCAATTGGTAAACAAATTTGTTAACAAGGAACTGTTGAGCCTTTAGGGGTTAGTGCGTCTACAATGAAATTCCTGGCTAACTACAGCTATACTTTTTTCCAGGTACTGAATGATTTCCCTAGAAACTTTGCTGTTTTTAGGGATAAACCCCTCCAGACCTTTCTAATAACATCAAGGAACGTGCATTGCTTGAAAACAGATGACAGTAATAGTAGTTGGGGTCTTAGTATAATGATAATTTCTATTCAGTGGAGCTTTCTGAGCTGTTCTCGTTAAATTTAGCTAACCTTGCGATAGTTATAGGGTAAGTTCCTCTGCAGTCAAATGTTCGAATGTTCAACTCTACCCTAAGATGGCAGCATCCTTCTGTTTGTCATTTGCCCCACTCGCAATCCATAATATCGAACATTGTTGTGGAGGGTATTGTTGCTCTTGGTGGCATTGGTGCGCTTCTTCATTTTCAACGTGGCAGGCCGTGGCAGAAGGTGCCTTTATTTATGTTTATGGCTTATGAGACACGACAACACTGCATCGCATTAGTTGCCAGGCCCCAAGAAACTCTACGACGCTGGCTCGCAGTGTCCTCTGGCCTGTCCTGTGCAAATAATGGCGCACAATGTGATTTTCCGTTGACATCTTGGAATTTGGTAAACGCGCGCGTTCATGTCTCATCAGCTTGTTAGAGTCAGAAAATGCACTGCGCAAGACTGAGGCCGAGGATCGAGCTGCGAGCAGCGACGACCAAACAAGCGCTGCAGACATCGATTGAGACCAGCACACAGAGAGAGAGAGAGAGATGTCCATCGCAATTGCCTGGTGGTAACTGAGTTAGTAGCGCACACGTTGTTCGTTCCCTGGATACCTGAATGCCTCTTGTTTCTTGATTTTTCTGTCTCCTGTCTCCCGTCTCCTGTCTCCACCTCGTGGTCCATGGCTCGCTACGTTGGCTGGCGACGCTTTTGGGCCTGTTCGTCGCACGCGTGCGCATTTAACAAAATTTATTGGAGCTGTGCTCTGGAATTTGGGCTTGTGTTTTGTGTCTGTCTGTCACTCGATTCGTTTATCCAGCAGCAGTAGGAGCAGCAGCAGCATCAACTGCTGCTCCATTGTTGCCAGTGCTGCTCTGTCTGTCTGTCTGGTCTGTCCTTTGATGCGATCGATTTTAAATAAACGCAAGCCAACGAAGCAAACGACCAACAAACCACAAAGTGACTATTTTTTCCACAGGACCTGCCCCTCAATGCGGCATTGCGGCCGAGGTTTTTTAAATATTTTATCAGCCTGCAAGTTTGCTGGAAATGCTGATAACGATCGCGCCACTTTTTGTTTAGAGTGCTGCTGCTGGATCTCCGGTTCTCTCGCATAATGAGTTTGTTTCACAGCCTCTCGAATACTTGCTGAAGTATTGGCAGCGGCACTCTTGACATTGTGATTAGCGGCTTCACGAACTTAATGATCCACAACAATGACGATCCTACTTAATTAGTGAATATCTAATGAGCATTTATTTCTATATATATTAACAAATAAATCCATATTGCTGTTTTCTATTTAACAAATTGAGATACCGCTGCATTATTGGGCTTCTTCAGCAGCCTACTTAATTAGTGAATATCTAAGGAGCATTTATTTCAATATATATTAAAAAGTAATTCCATATTGCTGTTTTCTATTTAACAAATTGAGATACCGCTGCATTATTGGGCTTCTTCAGCAGCCTACTTAATTAGTGAATATCTAATGAGCATTTATTTCAATATATATTAAAAAGTAATTCCATATTGCTGTTTTCTATTTAACAAATTGAGATACCGCTGCATTATTGGGCTTCTTCAGCAGCCTACTTAATTAGTGAATATCTAATGAGCATTTATTTCTATATATATTAACAACTAATTCCATATTGCTGTTTCCTATTTAACAAATTGTGATATCGCTACAATATTGGGCTTCTTCAGCATCCTACTTAATTAGTGAATATCTAATGAGCATTTATTTCAATATATATTAAAAAGTAATTCCATATTGCTGTTTTCTATTTAACAAATTGAGATACCGCTGCATTATTGGGCTTCTTCAGCAGCCTACTTAATTAGTGAATATCTAATGAGCATTTATTTCTATATATATTAACAACTAATTCCATATTGCTGTTTCCTATTTAACAAATTGTGATATCGCTACAATATTGGGCTTCTTCAGCATCCTACTTAATTAGTGAATATCTAATGAGCATTTATTTCAATATATATTAACAAGTAATTCCATATTGCTGTTTTCTATTTAACAAATTGAGATACCGCTGCATTATTGGGCTTCTTCCGCGTCCTCGGGCCGCATGTCCACAGAAAATGTGGCAATCTTATAGCCTGGGGCCATGACATTACCCACAAAGGTTGGCTCTTGACCCTCAGCTAGAAAAGTAGCGCAGTTGGAGAGCACAATATTTGCATCAGGATCGGTGCAGCTAAAGACGCCAATCAGAATTAATCCATTCTCGAGAACCACACGTACCATGCGACCCAACCACTTCTGTAGTTTCTTGCGGCCCATAGACAAGGTATTGGCACTCTTCTCCCCCTGCTTGAGGTCGGGCGCATTCGTCATAATAATGGGCTTGAAAGTAGAGGCGCCTGGCGGTCTAGTATCGCTGCAGAGCTCGTTGGACATAGCGGCCATATGAATTTAAATAAAATCTAAAGTATTTTTTGTTGTTTGCAATTTTGAAATGAAATTCTAGGATATCGACATAGTTGGCACCTCAGCTCTCTCTCATATGCTAATTCCCTGACAACGCCCCACAACAAGCTGTGCTCAGCAGCATCACCAGCCCGGTCAGTTGAGTAGTGACCATATCGCTGACGTTGCTATCGGTCGGACTATCTTGGCGTTTGCCCAAAAGCTGCACAATGCCACAATGCTCGGCAACAAAAAAAAAAAAAAGTGTCGCCATCCTTGGGCTTGCAAAGTCGCTCGATCTGCGGTTGGTAGGAGGCACATGCGAGGCGCTGCAAATGCAATAATGCAACGACAACGTCAACGACGACGACAGCAGCAACAACAACACCAAAGCTTATACATGCTGTTCGATCGTGCTGTCCATCTGTCCTTCCTTTGATGACCACAACAAACTGAAAGCCGGCACAAGTCCGCAGTCGTCTGCGCAACAGTTCAAAGTTTTGAGGGCTGCTGCCAATGCCAATCGGATCGAGCGGCTAAAAAGTAGCAAGTAGCCAGCCAGTCAGCCTGCCAGCCAGCCAGTCAACCAGTGAACCACTCAGCCACAAGTTGCAACAGCCACAGACCAGGCAACAAAAAATCCAAGATCTGTGATCTCAAAAAGTTGCCAGTTTTCCAGCGACTGCTGACTGTCCGGGCGACTGTTTTGCGTATATTTCGCAGCAAGCGCGTCGAACAAAAGCGTTCGGCGCAGATAAAATTGGATTGGCCATACCAACGATCCAGCGGGGGCATTACAGGTTGCTAGAAACGTTTGTGCGCCTTTAGAATAGCACTAAATAAAAACGTACAAGCTAATCAAAGCTAGCACCAAGCAATCATTTCAATCAAACTTTCAGAATAAAACACTACTCTTATATCGCATAATGCTCTAAGGTGGACTATCTGGTAAATGTTACTAGTGGGATTCATTTGTTGACCCTTAACACCCACTTCTCACGGCTAATCACGGACAGCGAAATATAACTAAACATTCGTGGTCGAAGTTTTCCTTTCAGAGTCTTAATATATTTATTTAATTCAAGCTGAGTTATAAATAGTTTGGGTTTCTTAAAAACAGAGAAATGAGCATAAAAGATGACCCTGAAATGGAATTTTCAGAGTGTGCTTGAACTTTCCTGTTGAGCGATCTTACAATCGCTTTCGAAGTCTTTCTTCCAAAGTCTTAATATATTAATTAATTTCAAGTTGAGATATAAATAGTTTTAGTTTCTCAAAAAAAAAAAAAAAGAAATGAGAATAAAAGATGATCCTGAAATGGAATTTTCAGAGTGTGCTTGAACTTTCCTGTTGAGCGACCTTACAATCGCTTTCGAAGTCTTTCTTCCAGAGTCTTAATATATTATAATTTAAATTTATTCACATTTCTTAAAAATATTATAAATTAAAAAGTGAGGTAAGGATATTTTAATGTTAAGAGTACAGGCAGCTTAGCCTTTTCTACTTAATTAAACAAAGTGGAGAGTAAAAATGGTTAACAACAATCGACAGTGTAAAGTGGGAAAAATTAAACAAAAAAAAAAACGCATAAAGCTTAATAACTTAAACCTAACTTAATGCTAAACTAACTTATACAAGTTGTCCTAATATTTTAATTAATTTCCATCTGCGATTTAAAAAGTGTCAGTTTCCCAAGAGAGAGAATAAAAAAAGATGAGCCTGAAATTGTTTTTTCCCCTTTTTACAAAAATTGAATTTACAGAGCGTGCTTGAATTTTACAATCCGTTCGAAGTCTTCCCTCCTTAATATTTTAATGAATTTCCATTTGAGATATTAATAGTTTCAGTTTCCCAAGAGAGAGAACTGAGAGTAAAAAGATGAGCCTAAAAACGTTATAAATGTTCAAAGTGTGCTTGAATTTTCCTTTTCAACGAAATTGCAATCTTTTTTATTAAATTTTATGTGAACACAAAGCTTTATTCCATTATCGTACAGTTAAATAGTCCAGTAAATGCAAGTTATTATTTTATAGAGCATTTAAAATTCGCGAAGCACTTCTTATGGGCCTCACAGGCCAATGCAACAGTAGGCTCAACAAAAACAAAAATGAAAACACAACAACTGCTCCCGACATTGGCGATCGATCGCATTTGATATATTTGCTCCTCGAGCTGTGTCGGCGGTGGTGGTGGCAGTGGTGCCGGTGGTGGTGGTGGCGGTGGCAATGGCGGTGGCGGTGGCGATGGTGATGGCGTCGTCTGTCTGCAGCATGCACTTTTGCAGTTGCTTTGTTGTGCATCCTCTGCTGAGCCCCAGCCCCGTCCTGTGGGTTGTCGGTTCGCTTCAGTTACTGCTGTTGCTGGTAGCTGCTGCAGTTGCAATCCGCGATCATCATCATCATCATCTGCAGCAACAACAGCAGCAACAACTGTTGCAGCCCCAACCTTAGCCTTTGCCAAGGCGTAGTGTTTATGTCGTTTATGTGAAATATCAGCTGCTCATGTTGAGAATGTTTGCTGCCTTGTTTCGTCTGCCACTTTTTGTTGCCTGCTCTTGTTGCTGCTGTTTCTGTTACTGTTGTTGTTGTTGTTGTTCTTGTTGGCGCTGGCGTTCGATCTGTTGCCTGCAGCAAGAGCAACACTCGCCTGGCCACTCAGCCATCGTTTTGTTTATGGCGTTTGCAACTATTGGTCAATACTTGAATTTCAAATATGCATGTTGTGTACCCAAGCGGTTCGTATGCGGATCGTACCGCGCAATAAAGTAAATTATTGCAAAATGCAGACGTTTTATTTCCATGCATAGATTTGCACCACATTTCGAGCTTTGCCACTCAATAAAAATTAAAATAAATGTTGTGGCATTGCCAGTAGGCGATTTAAGTTTAAAAGAGCAGCAGTATAGATAGTTAGTTATTCGCAAATAATATACAATCGACTCTCGTTAATTCAAACCTGCGATAGTTCGAAACTCTCTATAATTCAAAGTTATCACGAGTTCCCTACTAAATCTCTTTATATTTCGAACTAAATCAATACATTTTTATGCACTTAGTAATTCGAACTAAAAAATCATTGCTTCATAACAAAACGACGCATTAATTCGAACTCGTCCAGCACTCGACAATTCAAAGTTGCATAGAGAAAGAGGCGGAAAGATTGTATGTAAGTACATTTTGAGACAAGTTCAAACTTGTATCAACAAACAGGTGCTAGTCCCGCCCAGTCATTCAGTTACTGTTACTCTTTTGACATTGTTATAGAATAGTAATTAATAAATAATTATTGATCAACATTTAATCATTTTTTCTCTCTCACAAATTTCGAACCATTTGATATTTCAAACACTCGATAATTCGTAATATTTTAACAGTCCCTCGAGTTTCGAATTAACGAGAGTCGACTGTATTCCTAAACCGTATACTCGTACTCTTACTATAATATTTGCCACATGAATACTTTTTGGTCTGGTGCTGCTTTATTTTTGAACATATTCTATAACTTTGTTATTTTTGATGAATTCTTTTGCATTTCTATTTTATAATATTTCTTACTCGATTTATGAGCTGTTTTAATTTCAACAAAAATTGTGTCGTCGCATTTATTTTTGGCGATTATTTATGGCGCCGAAGCAGCGCAGCTCCCCGAGCGGCAATCAGAGCCATTAAACGCCCGTTCGAAAGTCAAAGACGATGAAGGCAACTTTTCTGCGCTCCATGAACTTGCTCTCGGTCCCTCGATCCCCCCTATATCTACCATAGATGAGCAGCAGCCGGTGATCTGTGATCACTGTTGCCCCACAATTCGTCAACGCCGCACGTTTATTTTTTATGTTTTGTTGCTTTTGTGTTTGGTTTAAGTATTTTGCTTTGATCAAATATTTTGTATTAGCTGCCGATTGGAACGTGAAGCTGATTTGGTTAATTGTTGGCAGCATATGTATACTTGTAGTATTCTTTGCCTGCTAGCTGTGTGCTCTGGTTTTGTAACGCGACTCATAATAAAATGTTTTTCGGTCAATTTAAAAATGTTGCTTTCTATGAATTAAATTTATGACAAACACTGGCGATAAATATGTTCAGTTTTAGTCTTGGCAGTTGGCTGCCTCCTCAAGTGGTGGGCAAGAGCTAAATACATCAGCCAGAGCCGAAAATCGAGCAAATGACGAAATTGTCGCTGGGTTGCCGCAACGATGGGGCTAGGGACGACGACGGCGACGTGGAGGCGCGTCACATCATCAAAAATTATAAATAGTGGGTGTTTTCGATTGGCTTGATTGTGATTTACAGCAATTTTTATATTTATTCAAATTTCTTTAAATGTATATTGTATACAAAATGTATTCAGAGCGCCGAGCGCTTTTTGTTTTCTTGGTGGACGGGGGCGGCGGGCAAATGTGTTTATATTCGTTTTATTATGTAAAATGCCTTTCACGGCCCATCAACGCGACTCATCAGCATTAAATTATGCGGCAATCAAACATTGGCATCGACACGAGTGCCGCTCTTTGGGGCATTTCTTTTCTTTCTTTCCTCCTCGACTGCGGTTATCTTTCAGCTAACTTGCCACTGCCCCAAGGGAACGGCAGAGAGAGGGGAGGGCTCTGGCGCAAATGTGCGAGCATTGCGCTTCTGCAGCACTAATATAGTCATTCAAGCTGCTTTTCTCAATTGCATGCAAAATTAATTGCAAAAGAAAGCAAACAAAGTGCTGCGAATGTATTTACAGTGGGCAAGAATTTGATTCCATGGCACAGAACAACAATCAATAATGACAGTTATCGATTTTCGATTGTCCTACTATGAGATGAAGAAATGTTTGTCAAATTAAAATAATACCAAGTCGAGTCGCTCACTTCCTGGTTGCAGAATCAACAACTTAATGTTTGTTTATAAATTCTAAAAACTAAAACGAATACTTGTGTTCTGTAAAAGAGTTAAAGGGAATTATGAAATCGTTCAGTATTTGTAACACGCAGAAGCAGGCGTGTTGGACCCCACGGATCCTTGATTAGCACGACAAGACGAGTCGCTCTAGACATGTCCGTACGCCCGAAAA